TAAAAAATAAAGATTTGAAGCCTTAGTTTGAAGCCACGGGGCTTGAAACCTATTTCCACTGAAACTGTGAGTTTAGTTAAAGCGAACGTGAAAGAGAGAGAAGGTTTGAAGCATCGGTTTGAAGCCCCGAGGCTTCATGGGTATTTCCAGTACCCTTACAGTAAGAGCACTGGCAATGGCAAGACAAAAACTGGACTGCCATACGTTGACGTGGAACATTTCAACTAATAAAAAATAGTCCAATCATCGTGTGACAAGAGCGTGGAGTGGCATGCATTGCAGTAGCAAGTCATTATGTTTGTCACTTTTTTACATTTTTGTATTTAATTATTAAAATTTATTTTATTTAATTTTTTCATAAAAATAATTCTACTTTGTTTATACTCTCTCCGTTCCCAAAAATGTCATAGTTACTATTTTAGATTTTTGATAATATTTTTTGTGCTTTCTTTTTTAATTGTATATTTAATAAAATAAATTATTCTTATCACTGTTTATTTTGTAAAATTTTGATATTATTTTTATATACGGTGTAATTTATAATTTTTATTTTCTTACTATTTGTATATCTAAAACTAATTTAAAAAAGATAATATCACATTATTCATGAAAATAATGATATTGACAATACTGATCTGATGATGATGATAATAATAATGAAAATAATAATAATAATGAACATAATAATAATAATTATAATATTATTATTTATAATAAAAATAGTAATAATAATAATAATAGTAATGAGGATATTTCTAAATTCACTCTTATTATAGTTAATAAATAATTCCTTACTTTCAAAAAAAAATTCCTTAAAAGATGCGTTCTAGATAAAGTTCTTCTTTATTTAAATACAAAATTGTTGTTTTGGTATAAATGGAATAGGTTTAGGAAAAATGAGAGGAATATATTAAGAAAAAGACTAAAGTAAGAGTAAAATAATGAAAATATATCAAAATAGAAATTAAATACTTTTATTTCTGAAATAAAAGTTAAAATACATAGTGTCAATCATTATAATATACTCCCTCCATTCCATAATATTTGTCCACTTTCATTTTTACACATCATCTAATGCACTTTTTAATCTATTTTATCTTGTAATTTGTAAATTAAAAAATTATAGAAATTATATATTAATAATCTATATGTTAAGACAAATCAAACAAGATCACACATGACTGTATTTAGGTTTACACATTGAGAGAATTTGATGAGTCAAAGTGCTTAGATGAATAGTTTCAAAAGTCAAAACTGGACGAATATTCCGGGACGGAGGGAGTATATTACCAAAAAATATTGTAAAATATTTATATAGAGTGTCACATTACAACAGAATAAACTTATATGTCAGGGATAAAAACCATTAAACTTCTATTTTGGTATATTCCCTCTTTTTTATTCCGATTTTGGTAATTTCACATGTATAATAATAATAGCAATAATAATAATAATAAAAGGGGAAAATATTCATGAATATATAATAATAATATTAATAATAATAATAATAATAATAATAATAAATTTGACCCAAAAGTAAACTAAAATTGGGGAATAAAATTGAAAGGGTTGGAGGTTCGGCGCGGGTTGGGGTGGGAGGGTTTACCGAGAGGTTAGAGGGTAGGAATAAGGGAGAAAAACCAAAATAGCACTCTAAGAACATTAAAATACTCTAAATAGCAGTGCTATATGTTTCATACATGTAATTCCGATTTTGTCCTTTAATTAAACAGTATATGTTCATTATTCACTGCCAAAAAATATGATTATTTTGGGCAGTGTGGTTGTTCACTCGTAATTGTGTAGTGGGCAGTGTAGTTTTTTATATGTGAGTTTTTTATGTGGCAGTGTAGAATGAATATATGTTGTTATATCTTACGGCGATGTGTAAATGTATTATTGTGTTCCTTAATTTCATGTTGTAGTGTAATGTCCATTGATTTATGTGGCAGTGATTTCACGTATTAATTCTACACTGTCAAAAAATGTATGACTAATTTCATCTATGAATTCCACACCGCCCAAAAAATGTATAGCTCTTTTTATGTATGAATTCTACACTATTTTCATGTATGAATTCCACACTGCCAAAAATGTATATGATTGTTTTCATTTATGAATTTCACACTGCCCAAAAATGTATGACTGATTTCATGAATAATCTATTACACCAAAACATACTGGCCAAACATGGGCTTGGCTTTTTTTGAACTTTCTTGATTTTGAATAATGTTAGAAGATGTTAGTATTAGACATATGTTGAATTTCATTTATGTGATAGTGAAAAGAAACGGATAATGAAGGTATTATGTTGTAAATTTTAAGACTTTGTAAGCAGCATACACTGCAACATTATGTAAAATTGTGCAACATAGCACACTGGCCAAAACATAGGACACAACACACTGTCAAAAAGTATACCTAGATCACAAGCATTCCACACTGCCAAAAATCTTTGAGCTTACACTTCATACTTTGTTTATTAAAGTTATTCAAGCACTNTAGGCAAGCATGGTCATAGGACATTTCCAAAAAGTGTAGCTAGAAGTTGATTATTCCACACTGTCAAAAAAATATCAGCCCCTATTCCGTAACACGTTTCCATAACGAACTCTTGAATGTTCAAACCCAATAGTCATAGAACAAAGCACATGGCTTTTGCACAATATGAAATTCAATTCATAATTCATAACATTGGCAGTTTTATATGTATGTCTAATTTCACTGCCATATTATTAATGGAAGTTAATAAAGTACATACAAATTTGTTTAGGTCGCTAACTTTTATACACTACCATACTTTCACTCTTGTCTGCCACATTATATATAGAAGACATATTCACTGCCAAAAAGTGTTTGCATAACATGATTAATCTGTACTGCCCGTATATTTATAGTCACCATATTGAGTAACACATTTCATAACAATCTCTTTCATGGTAAAACTCTATTGTCATAAAATCGACCACAAGCTATTTGCACAATATGAAAATCAAATACTACCTCCGTCCCACAAAAAAGTTCCCATTTTGAATAGTATTTAGTCAAATATTTACACGCTTTGACTACAAATTGTGAGAAAGGTATATTGAATTATGAAATAAATTTTATATGATTGGATTCATCTTAGGATCTAGTTTTGATATCTCAAATTTTTTTAGCATTTTTTTATTTAAATTATATTTAATTTAAGGTCAAAGTGTGTAATAGTTTGACCAATTTATGGTCAAAATGAGAACTTTTTTGTGGGACGGAGGGAGTAATAATTTATAAATTGGTAGTTTTATATGTAAGTCACATTGTCACCACTTGTTTATAAAAAATTTTATATAGTTTTTTGAATATATAATTCCTATTTTTTAATTATACAATAATTTTTACTTATATTGATTTGAAAATAATTTCAATCAAACATCGTAAATCGAATAAGAGCCCTATTTTGGGATAAAAGAAGTATTTATAATTGGCATATTTTTATGATATAATTTTGATATATCATATTTTTATTATATATATTTATTCAAAACTACATTTAATTGATTGACGAAAGAATTTGATAAAAAAAGAGTATTATGCCACTATGCACAAAGTATACATTATGTGAGACCGAATTTGATATATGAGTTGAAAGGGAAATTGAAATAATTGATAGTGGGATGGATAAAAGTGATTGATAACATAAAGGGTATGATTGGAAGATATTGACAACATAAATAGCTAATTTGGTAAATAAACAATAAGCAGTGCTAAATGCGTAGTATTATATGAGTTAGAGTGCTATGTAGGGTGATTTCTTTAGGAATAATGAATTTTATGATCGGAGTACCTATGATAATCCGACTGAAGTTTTTGTCATATTATGATACGGAGTACTATTTTTGTTGTAAAAAAGGGAGGTGTAATAATAAAAATCTAAATAAAAATAAATAAGACTTCCCCTTATATACCTTTGATAAATTCACTCTTATAATAGTTAATACTCCGTAAGTAATTCCTTAAAAGATGTGTTGTAGACTGGTAGCTAAAGTTCTTCTTTTTTTTATTTAAGGACAAAATTGTCTATTTAGTATAAATGGAATTAATTTAGGTAAAATGAGAGGAATATATTAAAAAAAGACTAAAGCATGAGTAAATTATTAAAAATATATCAAAATAAGAATTACATATTTTTATTTCTTAAATAGAAGTTAAAATACATACATAGTTTATGTCAACCATAATAATATATATTATCAAAAGGTATTGTGAAACATTCATATAGAATGCCACATTAATATATAGTTTTTATAATTTTTTAATGTACAAATTACAAGATAAAATGAATTAAAGAAGTGCATTGGATGGTGTGCAAAACTGAAAGTAGACAAACACTCAGGGACGGAGGAAGTACTATTTTTGTTGTAAAAAATGGAGGTGTAATAATAAAGATATAAATAAAAAAAATAAAAGACTTCCCCTTATTTTCTTTTTTTTTTAATAGCGCACTTTCCCTTATATAACTACTAGGAGTAGGAGTATTAGTTAAAAGTGTGTTGTTACTGGGATACTTGATAGGGGCTTCTACTTAATATATGTGTTCATTCCAATGATGTGACTCACATTCTTGGCCTCTTCACCGAATTGTCCTAATTCATCGAATTCGCCTCTTCGTCTTCGATCTCTGTCTCTCTCTCTCTCACATTCTTGATCGCGCGCTGTAAGTAACAAGTCTCTTCCCCAAATTTCATCGGCAGATCTTCAACTTTTTATATATGTATTATTTGTCTGTTTTATGCTTTTTAAATCCCTTTGAAGCCTTTTGTTGCTGTCACCGGGGAAAAAAATATCTTCTTTCCAACCTATTAATTCCTTTTGAAGGCTTGAGATTGTGTAGGAAAGCTTAAAGTTCCCCTTGTTGCATTGGGACTGTCGTCCTGGGTTCTTGTTGTAGTTAGTTGTTCTTTTCTGAAATTAAAGCCTATGCTATTGATATAAAAAAAAACTTAATACTTGACTGTTTTCTGCATAGGTAAAAAAAATGAGAGGTGCAATTGATTCATCTATGATGGCGGTCCAGCGCACCACCGCATGGGTTGCGCATATTTTGTGTATGTGTCCAAGACAAAACAAAGGATTTGATCGGTTCCCGGATGACATCTTAGTTAATATTTTGAGCAGGCTTCCTGCAGATGCTGTTCTACAGTGTCGCAACGTGTGTAGACATTGGAGGACTCTCACTTCCTCCACCCATTTCATCACGGTACAAAACCTTAGAGCTCCCTCCGTCATTCTTCTTGAGGAAAGCTCACTTGATTACCTTAAAAAAAGAGGTAGAGATTATTATGTTTATGATGCAGTTGCCAAAAAGTTGACCAAGATTTCTTTCAAGTCTAACCTCGGCTTTAAGGGCCGTGCCCAACAGTTTTATCCGATTTCTTTATACGGTGCTTGTGGTCCCTTACTTCATTTTAAGGCTTCGGGATACTACAACTGGTCGTGGGGGGCACACGAGTTTGCTTTCAACCTCTTCACTCGACAACTAGGAGCTATGAAAACCAGAACAAACCATTCCGTGCGTGGCCTGTTCTTTAATGAGCCGAGAAATGAATACAATTATCTATGCGCACTCCGGCATTCTGAATCTGATGAAGGTCGTCAGTTTTGTGTGTACAGTTTAGACTCCCGCACCGATGTGGAAATCGCCCGGAGCCCTTTCTCATGCAGTTCATCATACTCAAAGAGAAACCCAGTTGTTGTGAACGGAGCTCTGTATTTGATGGTGTATCCCATTGACAAGGACAAAGATGATTGCATGCACGCGATACTCGTGTTTGAGATGGATTCTGGAAAGTTCTACACTTTGCCGCACCCAGAATTTGAATGCCCCCGTACAAAACTTCATCATTTGGACATGTATTTGTTTGTTCATGATGACCGTTTGTGCATCTCCCATAGTGACATGGTGCTGGGGCGACTAGACATATGGA